CATGAAGAGCTCTGCATGGCTTCTGTTCAATTTTTCATTTTAGGATGATGCAAGTGAAATAGTAATGTTTCCTGCTTTTGTATGCTTTGTGTTTACATAGCCTTTGGTATTTTAAGGCTATATATTTGTTACAAGGCAAACAGATGAGATACTTGGATTTTATTCCAGGAAGACTGGGACAGTGTATTTTCTTTATATCTTCTAACCTACCTTTATCCAGAAGGCAGATAGCAGATGATCTGGGTCATTGAGTGTGAGGCTGACAGTCACTCTAATGTGATCCGCACCAGTGATTTTTTCAATGTTTTAATTGTGAGGAGGAATTTAGTGAAATATATCTGCTTGTTAATTCTTGCATAGGAAAGATTAAAAGGGTTTTGTTTACAATCCAACACATTTTATCTTGTCATATTCAGTCTTCCTGGTAGAGGAGAATGAAGGTCCCTTTCAAAGAAATAGTAGCAGAAATCGTACTATAATCAGAAGAAGCCTTAGACTTTCACTGAAGTTGTGCAGAGTTTAATGAATTTGAAAATGATTTGCCATTACCTGTGTGAAGCATTGTAAAGAGAATCCTTTAGAGAGTAAAAAAGTTCTTAATTTTTAAGAGTATGATGTTGCTTTTCAGAGGTTGGAAAGGACCTGAATACCTGGATGCAAGGAATTGTAGCTGTGACTTGACAAATAGAGTTGACATGAATTATTAAAAAATGGACACTTTTAGCAAGCCATCTTTCCTATTTTTGTACCTAGCTTCCCATTGTAAAATGAAAGGTCTTTGTCTCCTCTGCAGGGCAAAAGTCTTCCTTTTCCAGTGGAGAAAACATTGTTTCTCCTGGGAATGGACACTGATAGTAAACACCATGTTGTTATGCCAAAGACAAAATTATGGAAGTTACGTCTCTCCTGCCTGTTGTTTTTGCCATGTTAATGGTTGCCTAGAGAGCCAAAGGGGAAGTGAAACAAAGGAGGCTTTCTGAGCAGTTGTACGTAGGCATCTTTATCAATGTGAAGAAAAAAGTCTAAAGCTTCATGGTAATATTAACTCAGTGCTGAGAACTGGCCAGAACTCTTGGACTCTTGGCTCCAGCTTGCAAGGTAAAAAGCCAGAAGAGCTCTGGCAATGTTCTGTCTCTCTGGGTTCCAATGTCCCAGGCTGTTCAGCATGCCTTTACCATGTTTACTCTGCTTACACTGCTTTACTTTTTAAGTCTGATGTTACAGGGAGTTATGTGTTTGTTTTGTTTATCAGCTTGCAGTGATATGGATGTTTCCACAGGATGGAAATGGTGTAGAAAAGCAGCACTTTCTGTGAAAAAAAAAAAAAATCCTATGTGCCTCTTGTGTGCAGGTGATACAGCAGCAGCTGGTAGCATCAGCCTCTCTTCTCAGTGCCTTGTGCTTAACACTTGCTTTTAACTGTACTTGCATTTGAAAATTGATGCTAGTATGGCCTAGTGTGATATAGTCAGGAAGAGTTTTATACTTGTAGGATATAAGATGACTGAATAGTTTTTCTAGCTGCCTGTAGGTTTCCTGACAGCTAAAAGCCTGCAGCTTATAGATGGTTTAGGACTGGCTTCACAAAATGCATTTTACATCATTGATGGGATTAGCTGAATTTCTTGCTTCTCTGTTTCTGAATGAATTAAAGGTTGGGATATTTTTTGGTTGATTTTTCTGGCTTTGTCTTTTTCATGTGTATTTTGTGGCTGTTTTGTTTAGTTTTTTGCAAAGTAATGCCTTTATTTGCATTTCAAGGCACTTATTCTGTTAGGCTTCAAACTCCATTATTTTCCTCTCTGCAAGACTGCTGAGTCCTTATGTGCATGTCTGTGCTGTAATTTTTAATTAGATAGGCAGACAGAACATTGACTGAATGTCTCCTAACGTATTTTAAATAATTAAACAACAAGACAACCACCATACTTGTTCACTGTTCTTCTAAAATGTTCTTCCCATAGTGCTTGGGTGTTACAGATAAGCTTTGACTTATCTTGCTTTTCAGTAGTTTAAAAAGAAGTTAAATATGCCATATAAAGATCTTTGTGATAATGAAAGTTGAACTAGGTATCTCAAATTTATTATTTTTATGGACTTTATTATTTTGTTATTTTATTGCCTCTCTACGGTGATAACTTGGAGTTATTATTGTATTGAGACTCTAGAGCCTGGCCAGGTGGCTGATTTGGTGTGGGTCAGGTTAGGAAAGAACTGGCAGCATTTTGCTCCAGAGAAAGGAATCCCTTTTTTTGTTTGTGTGTGTTAAGGGGAAAGTGCATGACCCCTTCCTTCTGTAAAAATGTCTTGTTTTCTACAACCAAATGACTGCAAAGCTTTATCAGTTATTATACTGCTATCTTTATGAAAAAAGCTGTAAAATATTGTAATGCTATGAAAATACTCTCACTTTGCAGACAGCGTATAAAAGTATATTTTATCCATTTGTGTTATCTAAAGGCAATACTCATGGATGTAGTCCTGAGCCTCCTGTTGTGCTTGTTGATGCCACAAGAGCAGTGTTGTCTGTAGTTGCCATACAACAAACTGGTGCTTTCTTGCAGGAGCTTGCAGTGACTCTTCCATCATGTCTTACTAATGAAGGTGATGCCTTTGTTCAGAGCTGTTCTTGTAGATACAGTTGCTAAAACAAGAACTCCACTGTCCATTATGTTTTCTTACTTCATAGTTCTGTATCTTCATTTTTTTTCTTGCTCTGTCCTACTTTTTCCAAGCTATTACCTGAATTCTCAGCTTGTTTGCTTTGCAAGTGGACAAGCTCTGAGCAATATCTTCTTGCACTTAGTATATTAAGTAGAATGTTTTCCACTTGGAAAGTGGAAGCATGGAATGTGCATGCTTTCTTGGCTGATGTGTTTCTGTCTATGGAGAAATTTTCTTTGCCTGTAGAAAGAGACTGGATTTTTTATTAGTCACTGGTCCTTTAGATGGAGGTTTGTTGTTGCTGACTGAACTCAGTAACTGGAACATGCTGAGCTTCTATTTTCAGTTACTAAAACTTAGAAACCTGTATACTGGCTTGAGAAAATACATCTCTGTTCGGTGAGACTTTCTCAAGGATGATTTCCAGTTTGTGGAGGTCTAAGCACTGATTGCAAAGAGGCCTTGGAATCTTTCTCTGTGGGACATTTAGGGCAAATTACTCCTCATGTAAGATAGATTGCAGACTTGACAGCTACACAAGAACAGAGTCAGAAAAGAGCTGAGTTACCTCTCAGTTTTTCTACATGCTGTGAGCCAGCTGTGATGTTTCTGCTGGAAAGGAAAAATATAAGTTGCTGCTCAAAGTAGGTGATTCCTGCCTGCTATATGAACATTTTTTTTTGTTTAATTAATATGGATTTATTTAAGTATCAAGAGAGTTTTCAAAGATGACTGTTTCTTGCTTTCTGACTGCTGGACAATAACCCTTCAGGAATGGTGGATGCCTTTTGGTGTTACTGCTTATGAAGGTGTCTTTTACAGCTACCACAGTCCATCCATTCTGGCTTTTAACTACAGAATCCTCCTAAACAAATTTTGATGAAGTGAAGAGGAGGGAGAGCAGTTAGAATTTACTCTGATTTAAGTGGCTAGTAATTATCACCAAAATCGGGAAGACAATTTACTTCAAGTACCACAGATGTATTTTTAATGCTTTTGCCTGAATATCTCTGGCAGTTGTTACACTAAGCTCTGTTTTGAATTTGCATATGTTTTAAATTAAATATATATAAATAAATTTTGGAGGGACATGTTAGCTTTAGTACTTTCTGTTCTGCAGATGAAAAAAACCTAAGCCTTTTGCTGTACATAATTTTAGTGTAACCGAAGAATGCTGAAAATATTAAAAATGAAAACAAAGCCCAAGCTGAAAATTTTACTGTAAATGGAAACTATGGAAAAAATGGTGAGCTGGCTGCTTGATGTAAGAACTCCAGTACTTTGAGGAAATCGGATTTCTTTTCCCAAAGAGTCTGGAGCTGTCAGAAGTTTCTGATTTCCCAAATAACAGACTCTGGTGGCTTTTAGGGATTGTGAGAACCAATTATTTCTATTAATTTTGTACTCATACTAAATTCTTGAGCATGTTTGAGAGAGTGCAGATGGGACCTGTAATTGGCCATTAGTCCAATTAAATCATTTTGAGCTCAGCTAAACTGTGAATATCTGCAGGTGTAGCCAGTACTGTTGTCTCTGCCGTCTCTTAAATATTTGCTCTTATTTTCTTGTGAAGTAGCTGTTCTGTCTGTGATTTCTCTGTTTCCTGTGAACTACATTGGATGAGGGGAGGCTTTCACTGAAGGTTCCATGGTCATTGAAAAGGAGGCTTGTCATATAAATTATAGGGATGTTCCAGGCATTGTGTATCCTGTTTTTCTTCTGATAATTGATTTTGTGTTGTGTTATTTTGATTAAATAATTCATTTTCTTAGTATGAAAAGAAGAAAGGGCAGGTTTCAGTGAATAATCCGGCAACATTGAGCTTATGCATATGTAATGGAGATGAAATTCAAGTGGGTGAAATTCTGTCCATCCCTACAGTAAAGGGATCATTTCCTTACATGGAATTTTTAATTATGCCTTATGGAATAGGCTTGTACATTGGTCTCTAGAGTGAGCAATTCTGCTTGTGTTTTACACACCCTTAGAGAGCAAGGAAAGCTCCTATGTGGATACTCAGTCTCAGCAGAGGAATGTGTCTGTAGGAGGGAATGCAGTGAGCTTGTGTGCTGCTCTGTTTGCAGACATTTAAATTGAAACCAGTGAGCTTGTATCCCTCTGCTGCTTCCATTGTAGAGCATCAACCTACAAAGTTTTGTCTTCTTGCCAGAGCAAATCTTAGTGTAGTGTTTGTACAGAAATGGTTTTCTTATAAAGATATACTTTGAAGAGACTGAAGGTGATGAGAACTGAAGTCAGATACTTAAACTGATTTAGCTTTTATTTATTTCCCTCTTCCTTAGGCTACAGTTCTGCATGAGTCATTTGCCATGGAATGAAGTTGTGGTTGCCACCATGGGGTTGGGGTTAAAGTAGAGGAGACTTTGGAGGAGGAGAATTAATATAAATTTATAAGATATTGCTTGCATAAATAACAGAAAACAATAGTATTTATACCCTCTTACAGTGAAATTATCTAGAATAATACATACAGTAATGCTGTAGGGACATGGCTGCCATTCCACTATACATAGCTGACTTGTTCTTCTGTTTTATCAACCTCATTCTCGGTGAGCAGCAACGTATCCAGCAGAATGGCCGATGATGCTTGAATGGGTGAGCTCCTCAGCCTCATTGGGCTCTGGTACATAATGGGGTTAATCCCATTTCTCATCCCATTCATGACAAACAGCTTGGAATTTTCTGCTACAGAGTTCCTGAAAGAGATCCTGCTGGAGCGCTGCCGAAGGGCCTTGATAGGCTTTGTGGTCCGATAGTTGCAAGTGATGTACCTGCTGAAAGCCTCCCTAAATGTTTTGTTGAAGAGTGTATATACAAGAGGGTTCACTCCTGAGGATACATACCCTATCCAAACAAATATCTCCAAAAGCTTTTGAAAAACCTCCTGGTTGCAGGAGTTGCACAGAACTGAGCTGATGTTTGTTATGAAGAATGGGCACCACATCAGCAAGAAAAGAAAAAACACAATCCCCAGAACTTTTGACGCCCTTTGTTCATTGGTTATCGTTTGCATGGACTTCCTCCCAATGGTGGATGTCCTGCTGATAGGCATGTCACTGGACAAAGTCTGGTCCTTTCTGGAGCCGTTTAGCATGGCCACCTTTTCTGGTGAGGAGGCAGGTGTTGTGTCACGCTGAAAGACTGTGGACACTGCTGACCAGGTGAAGCGCTGGGGCGGCTTGTTGATCAAATAGGCCTTTTTGCGCAGCACTTGGATGGTCAGTAAATAAGTGACGATCATGATAGCGAGGGGAATGAAGAAGGCAGCCACTGATCCGTACAGAATGAAGTCATGAAAACGATCAGGCGTCAGGAAACACGTGATGTTTGTAGAGTTGCCATTTCCATCCTCAATGCCCCTGATAGGGACGGGAATTGCAATGCCTGTAGGAGAACAAACAAGTGCTTCAGCAGAGGGTAATCGCTTGCAATCGCTTCACTGAGTCTGAAGCCTCGGGCTTTCTAAAGAAAGGTAATTCCTGAGCTCTGGAGCAGGCACGGGAACACAACATGAAGTGTGGAGAGCATCATGTGGGTAATTGGGCAAACAGTACTTTGTGAGACTTGGCAGGCTGAGCTTTAACAGAGTGCCCTTTCTAAGGAGATTGGGCCTAACTCGGAGAGATTGAGGAAGCAGTATGAAGTTGCCAACTTTTCAAGTGTAAAACACATGAATTGCTTTGACTCTGGTTATTAGAATCAGTATGGCTTTTCCTCTAGTGAAATATGTTTCCCTAATGCCATCTCCCCCTTTTTTTTTTCTCTTCCCCAGAGTAACCTTTGCACTCTTTGAAGGGCAATTTTGTAAATACATAAATCTTGTCTTGCCCTCTTCTATTAACCACATCAAGTGATTGGACACAGACAGCTGATTTTTTTCACCCTGCTCGACTCTTTCATATATACAAGTAGCTAAATAGTTGCCAGAATTATGCAGTGTGTGTTTGAGATGGATTTGTTGTTTAAAGTCTCCTGCATATTTAGGAGTGTTTAAATGAGTCTGGCTAGCTCTGTAATTCACCACTGGTTTAAAAAAATGTTAACAGTCTTGTCTTTTAAATGAACTTTTTATAACCACTAAATTACAGTCAGCACTTCATTTGCCAGAAGTCTGACATTACAACAAAAACAATAGGTTCCTTGCTGTCTGGTGAAGGTGATTTGTGCAGTTTTCTGATACCACTTAATGAGATATAGGGATTTACTGTATTCCTCTGCTACTAGGCTTACTGAAGTTGGTTTAAAGCAGCAAGAGCAAGATGGGTTTCCCTTCAGCAACTTGATCCCTTTTCTAATTAGAAGCACACATTCAGATACAGAAAGCATTTAAAATAAAGATTGAACCAAATTAACCTTTGATTTGGAGAACCTAGCTCAACTGCAGACTAGTTTTATGTTAGATAAAAAGAAATTGAAAAGTACAGTGCTGTTTAATGGCAATAAATCACACATTAAAAGGTCAACTTGTGAGTGTCTTGTCATGCTAAGTTTTTTTTGGGGTGGAGGGGGTTGGGTTGGTGATAGAATAGAGATAGCATCTTTTCTCCTATCATCACAGCTCTTCCAGAATTTTTTTCAACTCAGAAATTTGGAATTTGCCTTAGCCAAGAAGGTGGCTGTACCCATTCTCCTATGCATCACTGCCTTTAATAATCCAGAATAATTTTGTTTGGTCTTGCACACAGAGCATATAGCACTAAGGCTGTCTGGAGCATGTATTAAATTATTTGAATTAAATGTTTTCACTTCCTTAGCTCATTTAACAGATTCATTTTTTAAGCATTAAAGACAGATGACATGCTACGTGCACATCACAGAGACACTGATATCATAGAAGTTTGTATGTTGGTATAAACTTCTTCATTTAAACTGTTCAGGGTTTGTTGTTTTGATTGTTTGGGGTTTTTTTGTTAGACATCAGCCTTTCTGTATGCTGTCTCAGCCTTCAGTGTCAGCCTGGATGTTACCAGCCACTGATTTATATCTTTGCTATAAATAGTTAACCCTTTTGTACTTCCTTTATGCAGAATTTTACCAACATCTGTTCAAGGCTTAAAGTTGTGTTTGGGACAAAATATGGGAGCATGAAATCTTGCTTTCCCAGGAGACATGTGCATGCACTATCTGCATACTAATACTGTGCATGCAGATATTGTTTTCTGATTTTTGAGCTTTCAGGACCATGAAGAGGAATGATGATTAATACTCTGACTCAATCCTTGGCCTTTCTGGTGAGCCTAATAAGGAGCAGTGGTTCAGGCAAATTTTTATGATGTAGCTATGTATGATCCAAGAGCTGGATTTTGACCAGCCTGAGTGTTATGGTCCTCCAATCAGTAGTACTTGGCCAAATTTTCCATTTTCTCCACATTTCACCTATTGTTTTGGACATTAAAAGCTTCTGTGTTCCTTTTCCAGTCTCGGGTCCCACATACCTATTGAGATGAGCCAAACCACGATGATTTTGATGATTGTTGTAGCCCATGAATTGTACTGGCTGGCCTGGATTGGCTTTTTTATGGCAATGTAGCGGTCCAGGGAGATGGCACAGAGGTGCATGATGGAAGCTGTGGAAAAGAGGACATCAAGGAACAGCCAGATAGGACACAAGGCAGTTGGTAAAGGCCAGGTATTGTCTGAAAGAGAACAAAAAACTCATTAGAATCTAAGCTTTTTGAGAACTTTCAGTGTGTCATTTTCCTGTGGCATCAGTATCTTTGAAAAGTTCATAGTACTGCAGGAACTGAGCTTTGTCACTGCCTCAGATGGGTTCTGTCTTATATTGTAATTAGCTCCTAACTGGTATGGCTGTTGCCATCATATTCATCAGGCTACCTGTGTGCTATAAACCTTTTCCTGTCTTTTTGTCCTTTTGTGGCAAGGACTTTGGATTAAAAAGTTTATTAAAAATGGACCATGACTGGTTCTTGTGAGCCTACTATTAAATGATTATTTTCAGCTGTTTCTCATGGTAGAAGTTGATATATTAAATATATTTTCCTCCCTTGGAAAATTCTGCTGTACTCGATCAGTAAGTACATTTTTAGTATTGCCAGGGAAATCAGTTCTTTGTTGAATGACGATTAGGGGGGGAAAATTGCATTTCTAATAAATCAAATTGGTTTTAATTTCCTTGGTCAGCATAAATAGACCTGTGTGCTGAGAACACAAAATGAGCTGGACTTTTGTAATGTTCAGTCTTATCAGTGTAGTAACATTGCAGTCATTTGAGATTTAAAACATTTTTTCGTAACATGACTGATAGATGGAGATGATAACAGTGCTGCTTTGACTTGAATTATAAACTCCAGTGGATGGAAAATTTTATGAAGATAAACATAGCAAGTACTTGTCTGCACTCTTACCTATGCTGGGAAACCTTCTGTGTTAAACAAAGAGAATGGATGGATGGAACCCTGAACTGAACCTCAGCCATCCCCAAAGCAGAGGACTCCAGGTGAGGATGATATAGGCAGTGAGGCAGAAGAGGAAGAGGCAGTCTGCTTTCAATTTATTAACCAGAAAATTTTAGTATCTACCATAATTATTTCCTAAAATAGATTCTATCATTGAAATTATGCTTCAAAAAGCTTAGTCTATCAGACAGGTATGAGAAAGTTGTAATTAGTAAATTATCAAACATTTACTAATCTTTCTGAAACAGATTTCCTTTAAAAAGAAAAAACAAAATGTATTGTGGCTTATGTAGCCAGCTGTAATTAAAAAAAAACAGTTAAAAGAAGTAACTGATTTGATGGGCTTGAAATGTTTTTGCTCACTCCAGAAAACTGACAACTTCTTTTGACTTTGTAATGAAGGATTAGTTCAGGTAAAACATGAACAATAGAAAGTGTGTTCTGCAACTTGAAGGATGGCAGATAACGCAGCTGGATTTCAAGTGAACAGCTAATACTTCTTTTGGATAGTACTTGCATGCCATTCCCTGGATTATAACTGCTTTGAGTTCTGGAGAATCCCAGTGTAAGAAGTCTTTCCTTTTTTAGGTAATTTACTATTTGCAGAAGAAAATACTTTGCAATAAAAGGCCCTTTTGCTTCTTTGAAATAAAGATACATTTAAACACTGATCTGATACAAAGCAGTCTTGTATATTTTTTACTTGTAAGAGCTTTTGTGAGTTGACAAGTGGAACTGAACAGAGAAAGCTTTCCATTTTCTTTATTTTTGTCTATTTTTCTACAGCGTGCAGAAGGCAGTAGGTTATCACATTCATGATTAGAGCATTATCTTCTGCTGTATTTGTGTGTACAAGATGCTGATTTTTTGTCCAACAAAATCAAAGTAAACTTTAAATGAACTGAAGATTATGGTTATTATTTAAATGAAACAAATATCACAAAACTGATACTTTAAAGTCCAGAAGAGTCACACAGTTATCTAGGATTTATTCTGTGGTGTATTTTGCTATAAGTTACTTTGATTTGTAGGTTACACCTACAAATCGAAGCTAGAAGCTGTGTCCATTGTTTGAGGCAATACTCTGGGCTGAGTTCTTGTGCTTTTCTGATGATGGTGATGCTGTCTATCACTGTTGGCCTATTCTGTTCATTTAGGATTAGGGAAATAATGGAATATTAATTTCCTTTCATGGCTCAGAAAGCATCTCTGATTCTTGAACGTGATGGTGACCTGCTTCGTTGCTGTCCTGCTTTATAATTCAGAACATAAAATGAGTATGTCCTGCCAAGTAGTGTTACAAAGCCATTAGCAGGTCATGCTCAGTTTGGACTGTTCTGATTCTCCTACTATAGATCTACATTGTGGAAGCAGACCAGAGCATTTACAGGGTAGAGATTCTTCACTCCAGTTTTTCTTGGGAGCTAATAGGGATTGGATTTTTTTTTTTTTTAATGCCTCAGTTACCTGACAAAGATACCTGCCTGAAAATTTGTCTGGTTTCTCCAGCTCTCAGGTAGTATAATTCAAAAAGAAATTCCTTCTACCTACAAACCTTGCCTCAGATCCTCCCAGCACTGCAGCAGTGCCGCTGTCGAAGATTTTGCATGTTTTGAGTCAAAATAAGACCAAATACATGCTTTAAAATTTGTCTTGCACCTTTAGAGTAGTAAAATGAACTTTTACTGCAACTGTCTGTCTTTGATTAATCTTTATTTAGGAAAAGCTTTATTTATAGGAAATACCTTAGAAATGTGTAATCCTTAGAACAAAGTACAGTATAGAAGAGCTGCTCTTGCTGTAAGCCAAAATGTTTTCAGAAAGCTTAAGAGAAAGCACAGCTTGTGTACATGTATAAGTATGATTGAGAGAAGTCTTTAAATAGACTTGGAAACCATTTATTCTTCTGTTCTAAGGGCTGCAGAAATGTGTTACCTGTAAAGGGCCTTCTTGTTGTTATATAATGATGCTTTTGCTGAGATGGAAATGGAAATATTTTCGGTCACCATCTCCTTTAAGCCTAAGCTTCAGTCTTCACCCTGGTGTGTGTGTCTGCAGCTGCATGTGCAGTGCTCACCCTCATGTGTTTGGCTCCATGGGCTGCCAAGGCCCGATGTCTCCAGGCTGTTCTCTAGGATTTTCAATCAAAGTGGTTTTTTCAATTAGGCTTACTTTCTGATAAACTTCCTGATATCTTTAGACTTGAGATTGTGGGGAGTAGTCCCCGATTAAAGTTTTTTCTGGCAGTTTGCACAAGCAAGAAGGGAAAATTTGTTGTGGTTATCATCAGTAATGGGGGAAGATTAGGACTAGTTGCTTATGATTGATTAAAATAATGGTTTGCAACCTAGGATAATGAACATTGCTTTCTGATTTTAAGTGGATGATTATTAGGAGGAGAGACTGTATTTTAAAAAATGGTACATGTGTTGTCTTCAAGTAGCCCATTGGCCACCAAGCTGTGGACACCAGACTTCTTCCTGCTGCAGGCCTTGCAAATGGGAGAATCTCTCAAGTTTGTTTGCCAATTTCACTATTCAGTGAATTTCAGTAGTTCTGAGTGTTAGAAATTTGGGTAACTGTTTTGAAAGCTAGATTTTAGAGAATGCAGTTATCTCCTAGTGGGCCCTCTTTTTTTTTTAAGAAATGAGAAGTATTTAGCAAGCTATAAAAGCTATGAAATGTTTATGTGTTCTGACACTCACATTCCAAAATTAAAATTGTTGTGTATGCTTGTACCAGAGTACATTTTGGTTGTTCTGCTGAGAATAAATAAAGTACTGCTCATGGCATTACACCTGCAAGTGAGTTTACAGATTCATTTATTTACTTATTTTTAAAAGGGGCAGCTCTTTATTATAGATACAGTCCATTTCTGAAGATTTTTTTGTGAATGTTCTGTCAGGGTGTGGAGCCAATGCCTTTAGCAGATTTTGATTTTGAACACCCTGTGACACATTAGTTTGTACAGTCAGGATCTTAATGTTACTGCACTTCTGTTCACACCTTTTCCTTCAAATCTTCTCCGCATAATTAGATATCAATCCCAAATCGGAAGCATAATATTTGTACTCTGTATCTAGAAGCTGCACCCAGCTCTTTCATTATTATGGAAACATTCCTGTGTGGAGGTGCCAGGAGGCTGGATTTAGTTTGCTGTCTGGCTGTCAATGACTTCTTTGTTCACGTAGTTGTCTGGCTAATGTAGCTTCAAGATTTAAACTTGTTATGTATTTAATGCCAGTTCTGTCTTCATTCCAGTAACTCCTCATGTTTTGCTCATGCTTTGAACTTCTATAAACACCTCAGCATCTTCTCCCAGTTGGTGAAGAGGCAAAGCAGTTTTTCTGGTTGGCTGCCAAAGAGAGACTTGTGTGCAAGAAATTTCAGTTTTAACCACTGTTGTGTGGAAGGCGGGTTGTGGTCTTAATTAATTATAATTGATTTTACTACTTTCTGGTAAATTTCCTGCACCATGAAAGACGTTTTTGTTTGACTTTTGAATTAAGATTCCTAGCATGCCTTAAACTGTTGTAACCAGGGTTTAGCAGTGGATTAATTGAGAGATTAAGGAGCAATAGAGTCCTTATGAAGTTATAAAGGAAAGATTTGTTAGTCTAGCAGAATGAAAATAATAGTAAAATCCAAAACGAGAAAACTCCACCACTACCAAAAACCTACTCCACAAAATCTGGGATTTGTCTTCCCTTTATATTGATTGCTAGTAAATGCTAGAACTTTTTATGGCTAGTAGCTTTATTGTTGTTAGTGATGAGACCTGTGGCAGGCACTAAGCAGTTACAGCATCCATGTGCAAGTATGGAAATGCATATCTGCTGCTTGCCTCCCACTCATATGCACATACGTGTTTTCTATAAGTGACTGATTTTTTTGGAGTTAGAAATCACTGTCTCAGTTATGTACATTCAGTTTTCTTTTTAGAAACTATTACTTTGGGGAAAAAAATCCCTTTTCTATGATCTCAGTGCTGAATTCTGACCTCCTGTTCACAATCCTGTTTAGGGAAAAGAAGTCCGTAACGCACAGAAATTCTCAAGGCATTTAATGAATGAATAAACAGATTTGTTAATAAAGTGATACCAGTTTTCTGTACAGAAATTACTGATGGCCTTTCTGAAATATAGTTTGATTCTGTTTGCTTGTTGCTCAGGCAACTCTTACAGTCTAGTCTAGGAAAAATGAACTCCTGCAGCCTTTCTTAGGACCCAGTGTATCTTAAAGGTAATTCTATAAATCATTAAGTTTCTTGAAAAACCCGTCTCACTGATTTTTTCCATTGATGATATGAAAAGAAACAAATTAAAATGTTTTCTTAAAGAAATTTTAGCAGTTAAAGAGAGAGACTTTCCCATGGAGTTGCCTCTAATTAGTTGTCAGAAGCTGTATCTGAAATAAAGCTGTGTGTGAGGGGCTGTGGAAAAATCATGCTTGTTCTGTAAGGACTAATGAGAAACAAAATATCACATCCAATGTTTGTTCATGTGAAAAAGACCTATTTTATTTCCTGTGAACCAGACTAAATGACAAATACGTATCTCAAACATTAGATACATGGGTTGAGGCTTCCTTGGCTTGACGGATGATTTACTTGTGATGTCTTATGAACCTGTGGCTTTCCCCAGGGTGGGAGGAAATCAGTTTCTCTGAAAGCAGTGCTGATAAAGTTTGTCGTCACTGATAGTGCCAGGGACCAACTCTGACTGACCGTGTAAATATGTGACTGCTCATGGAGGCAGTACTCAGGTAAAATCAGATGCATTACTCATACACAGTTCAAAACCTCTTCAGTGTACTAAACCGATACCTAGCCCTGATTTCAAGTTTTTTAAGAGAATACTGTCTGCAATTAGTGTAATATAATATAAAAAATACCAGCATTGTGCCGATGTTGTTAAAAATGATATTACACTGTACAAAATGTAATTCCCTGTGCTTCAGCTCATATTTGAATATTTTTAAGTCTTGGATGATTTTTGAATGGTTTGTTTCAAAGGAAAGAATATCCACATAGTTGTACTTCCCATAAAAACATTAGGCTGTATTAAGGTGAGAGGAAGAGAATATTTAGCATCCCTCATCCAAGTGATTTTTAAAATTGTAATGCTGGAAAGCAAACACCTTTTCTGTTTAAATTAGACCTCCCAAAATTGTAACCTGATAAAACAAACACTTACCAAATAATATAATGAGAAGGGCAATTGGCATCACAAACAGACCCACGAGCAAATCTGCCACTGCCAAGGATGTCAGAAAGTAGTTGGTAGCATATTGCAACTTCTTCTCCAGGGACACTGCCAGAATGACAAGTATGTTCCCCCCAATGGTGGGGATTATCAGCAGGAGGATCAGCAGTGCTGCCCAGTGCACTTTGTTTCCTTGTTCCTCACTTGGGTAGTCCTGCTTGGGTGCTCCTGTTACTGAGAGAGGCGACAGAGATCCATTGCCAGCTCCAGGTCCGTTCAGGGAGTGTAAAGGATGGGACATTTTTGTGTGCAGAGGAATGTCTTCAGGGGCTCTGTTTGGCGCGGGAGTTGCGTATGGTGTAAGATTTCTCTGTTCCTCTCTGGTCCAGGATGGTCCTGAAGATAGGCCAGCATGGTCAGTATAGGGAACTGGTCATCTGCTATTTTGAGATATTGTAACCATGTCCGAGCTGGTATCCAATTTTTTTATTCTTTGCCTTGCTGGGCACGAAAGAGTTTTAAAAATGCAAGTCCTGTCTTGTGTCCATCTCTGGTTGGTGGGGTTCAGGGCTCTGGTCTCCCCTTTATAGCGATGTTCAGATTTCAGAAGATTAAAAGGAAAAAATCAGTAGCTGTCAAAAATAAGCAGTGCATTACCTTCCTCTTTTTTTTTTTTTTTTCTGCAGCAGTAAAGAGTGATAGATGAATCTGAATGCAAAACAATTCCCTTTAGGTGCAGTCTATGTAGATTTGCTCCTTCTGAGTACAAACTGATGCAGAGGCAGATGCTCGAGTTGTGTATGTGCAACTCCTCCTCTCCCGAGTGTCTCGTCTCCAGCAGCATGTGCGTAGGCAGACAGCAGTTCCCATATTTCCCCTTATTAAGAATCCTATTTCTCCTCAGAGGGTAACCCCAAAAATATCTTCAGAAATTATGTATGAGGTTTCCGTTTTAATCTCAGCACTTCCTAATTTATCAGGTGAGGGTCAGGAAGCTGCAGACAATAAAACACTGCTGACAGTCTCAAGGGGACCATAGAGATTTATCGAACTGAGACATCTAAATTTACTCCTTACTTGAAGGGGTCGGGGTGAGTAAAATGCTTGTTTTTGTAATCTGAGCAGGGCTTTTATTAAGCACAGCCCGTTCTCTTCTGTTTTTCTCTGTCTCTGTCAACTCTGCTAAAGACTCAAGGCTTGCATTTCCCCCTTCAAGCAGAGACTCAAACAGCTGTCCCCACATTAAGCCGAACAAATGCTCAGTTACTGAGATTTGATGTGTTGCAGTTTTCAGGTGAAGAAAGCCTTACCTCTTTCTCTTGCATTTTAGTAGAATTCACTTTGCATCCAGGAAGATCCTTTATAATTTTCTTTTTCATCATATGGTGGAAGTTGAGATTTTTCACTACTTTCTGGAAAACAAGTTGTTCATTTGCTTTTGGCTTCTTTAATATTTCTGAAGCTTGTCTCTTTGTGTGCTTTTTTTTAGCACATTTCTTCTATCACGAAGATTAAGAATTTCTATTTTGGGAAAACTATATTTCTTTTCATCCACGTATTTTCTCCAGCTCTGAAATGGAGGAGAATAATCATTCTTACCACATGTAAAAAAGGATAGAAATAATTGTGTTCACTTTTGCTGTCCTTTAACTTCCATTCTTTGTTGATTCTACTGAGATGATCAGCAGAGTCTGTGTGCAGTTCTCTTTTTGCTCACAAGTAAAGCTCACAGTTTGCTGCTACCCTTGTTCCTTGAGTGACTCCTTCCAGTGTATCCAGCTCCAGTGTTTGGAAAGCCGGGAAGGGAGTGGGTGGGGGGTTTGGCTGGAAATGAGACAGAGAGGGTTAATTGATTCACTGCTCCAGCAGTACAGTGTGTGCTCCCTGGAGCTGGATCAGCATGTGCAGGTCCTGGAAATGACCCTTCACACTACAGCATTCTGTCTCTGTGCACCGTAGCGTGTGTCTGTCTGTCTGTCTGTCTGTCTGCTGTTCGCTCTCTGGGCTCTCTTGCTCACTTGCTTTCTGGGTGGAAGCACAGTTAACCCTAAAAAGTTCTGCAGCCTGTAAACACTCCAGGTTTTTCCTTGCCTAACTTTATAAAACTATTGTCTAGCACAGTCACTTTAAGTGTGTGCACTGTTACTTTAAAACTTTCCTCCTGCAGCTGCTTTTTATTATCCTGGGTGTTCTCTTTTGTTACCTTCCAACTTTCAGTCAGATATGTGTGTATAGCCTCAGCGTCATCTTAAAGTTCTGCATTAAAATGGAAATAGAGTTCACTTCCAAGGACATTAGCTGCAAAATTGGGTAATAAGTCCTTGACTAAGGCCAGAAGAGACCATGAGATCATGGTTTGACCCTCTGTATGACACCAGCCATTACATTCCATGAATTGCTAGTGCTTACCAGCCTTGAGCTGGAAATCAGGTCCTCAGTGAACTGTGCATCAATTCATATTTCTTTTAAAAAGAAAAAAAAATTGTTTCTGGAATGCAGGTAATGTGGGGCCAAAGAGAGAAGGCTGCTGTCAGAAATTAACAGAAATACTTGGTATATTGAGATCATACAACAGAATTTTTAGTAGCTTTTATTTGTTCCTTACTTTTCCTGTTTAAAGGAAACTGTCAATAAGATTCCATACTGTATTAATTTACATTTGAGAGCTGATTTCTTTATTCATCAGAAAAGTTTATATTACAAAAATAAAAATTAATCCAGCTATGGTAATACTGTTTCCTTATCTGGTCATCTCCCCATTGTCACCACTGACAGTACTGAGAGAGCAGAGCACATGAAAACATATATAAAGTGGAAATTGAGACAGGACAATACCTTATTTGGCTAATGGGCATTTGGATTCAGTTTTTCTTAAGCTCCACTGCGTCTAATCAAGTTCTGGTTTATATTTTAAAAATCTTGAAGGATATCCTGACATTAATCTAGCTGTACTTGAAGTTTTTACTGCAGATTGTTCTGATGAAAGCTAATGAATACATTTATATCTAATTGAAAAGGAAATTATTCTTAAAATACAGATAAAACCAATTATCTTGGGAACTTGCGGAAGATGATACAAGTTTAGTGGTAGATTGGCTTGCAAGCATTTTTACCTCTTTGGTGCATTGTTTAATTTCAGAGAGATGAAAAACATACCTGCCCTTTATGATGTTTTCTGAACTTTGCCAGATTTGAATCAGTTGAGAAACACATCCTGCTCTATATCTGTTACAGACCTGCAGCAGGTTCTTCCCTGTGTCTTCAGGCCAGGCTTTTTGTGCAGGCCACTGTCCTGCCCCATATCCAGATGTGTTAATGATGGTAAACCTTAAATCTTGCTAGACCCCACTCCTGGTCCAGTGTAAACGGAATATTTGAACCATAAATAGATATTATTTTTATTTCCCATCCCTTGCTGTTACTTCTGTTTTCAAGCTGCCTGTGTGATTTTATAGAGCCATGTCCCCATCAGATATGAGCTGTCTCTGGTGAGTGCTGTTCAGTCAGTACATATCATTCAAGTTCACTTGTTGTGCTGTACATGAGATAGTTGCAGGAAATTCCTGGTTTGGGAATAGCTGGGATCATTTTTGTCCAGAGAGAGAGACTGAATGTTTAGTCTACACTGAATATAGCAGTTTGTTGCATTTTTTCTCTGCAAGTTTTCTGTTTTCTATATATTTCTCTTTCTGTTGCAGATCCCCTCCTTCAGAAATGACCTCAAACTCTGCAGCTAATGTCTGCATTTCTACTTTGTTAACTCATTCATGGATGAAATGAAACTTCTGTTAAGCTTTTTTTTTTTTTAAATAATTGCCACTACACCACTAAAACAACTTGTGGAAATAGTTCTGTATAAAATGATTAATTCATGACCGATAGTTTAAAAAAGTTATAAATATTTAGAATCTTTTGAAATATGACTGAGGACGCTTAATGAGGAATTTAGAAGATATATTTGACAATTGCTCTTCAATTCTCTGATGTTTCATTTTTCAATGAGTTGTACAGTCCTTAAATATTTAGACTAAAATGTAAGTGCATGTTAGTGATGCTTCAGATGCTTCCAGTTTTAGTCTCAATCATGAGACCAGTGTGATGGGTTTTTTCAGTATTCTGTATCTTTACTTACTGATGCTACCATATACTTACATATATATAATTTCATGTTTAAAAATTGCTGAAATATAAAGAAAAATGGCAGTAATGCATTAACCTTGAAGATGTGCAGCTTACAGGATTGGAGACAAGCTACTCAAAGGATGGGGTTTTTACAGGTCTGTGATCTAAGAGACTTGAAGTGGAATGTGCTCCAAGTTATGGCAGTCTGAGCTTTTAGTTTATCTTGTTGCATGCCTCCTGGGGAAAAAAGATTACAGTGGATTGTTAAGAGCCAGTGTAGCTCACTGTGATCCTCAACTTTCAGTAGCCCAATAGGGCTCTTGAAGGCAAAGCCTAGTGAGAACTACGATATCTGCAGATGTTGCAGTTGTGAAGACTTTCAGGAAAAAAAACAGTTTAGGTCAACACCAAAAGGAATCTGACCACCTTCTGTGTCCAGCTGACCTGGGAGGGTTTTTTTCATATTAGTCTGTCTAAACAATCAACATCCTGGTTTTCATTCTGTTAATTTTTGCACTGGAGGCTTAAGAAAAGTTTTCTTTCATCTCTCTTTGGAAGTAATGAAGAATTCAAAATTATCTTAGCTTGTAAGTAGCCTAGAATTTCTGAGAATCCAAAGTTTCAGCTTTTTATGGAAAGAATATGACATTTTTTTTATATAAATATGTCCTTATATATATGCAAGAAATAACAGCCCCAGAAAGGAGTTCAGAATTGAGGCTAAGGCAGCTGGGCTGGAGTCAGGCAGCTCCTCTCTGTTTTCACTGGTTCTAGTTTCTGGGAAGATTCAAAATCCGTAGTGTGTGGTGTTTCTTGCAGAGGTTTTAAGAGCAACCAGTTGGTGAGTAAAACTAATAAAATGCCAGCTGTTATGTTTTGCTGAGAAATCTCTTATTGCTGTCTTGGTAAATCTTTATTTTTCTTTATGATTTTGTTTGACTTCTGAAACAAACCAAGCTGGATCTTGGAGGAAGTCCTTCATCTGCAGCCCATTCATCACAGCAGTAAAACTGATCCTGATGTAGGGTGGAAACAAAACTGTAGCTTACTACACTGTTGAAGTTCCATGGAAGAAACTTCTTGGGATTTTTGGCTTCTTTATTCATTTAGTTTCCTAGTAACAGAACAAAGTTGAAGCTAGTTATGATGTTGGTTTTTTTGTGTACAGGTCTGGGCTCACTGACGTCTGTGGTTTCATGGCTTATGTAGGAGCAGCTGAGCAATTTTCAGATAAAATGAAGGAAATAATTGGGCCATTTTTTTGTCATCATTTTGCTGTTGTAGTAAAATGTAATTGCAAAAGCACACTGCTTGAGTAAAACCAGTGTTAGGAAAAAAGGAAGGAACCAGTGCATTAAAGATAATTTGGTTTTCA